TGTTCGCTATATCTGAATAGGGGGACGAGGCGGTGGAAGCCTGTCTGAATATGAGGGCGACGACGTTGATGAGTCGGTCCGAATATGAGGATGAGGCAATGATAAGCCGCGTGTCATATGAAGGCGACGGTCACCATCCAGGAAGGGATTGGCGAGCCTGGTCGGTAGATAAGGACTTCAACGCTGGTGCCGGTCTAAATGTGAGGACGAGGCGATGATAAGCCGTGCGTCATATAGGGGCGACGGTCGCCGTCCGGGAAGGGATGGCGAGCCCAATCGCTATAACAAGACTTCGGCGCTGGGAGCCGGTCTTGAGATAAATAATCACGTCGCGGCCGAGAGGCTGATCGCGATGTGCGGATGACAATGATGAGGAGCCAGTCCGAAATATGATGACGAGGCGATGATGGAGCCGATCGTCACATAGAGGCGATAGTCACCATCCAGGAGGGGATGGCAAGCCTGATCGCTAGCCCAACACACTCGGCGCTGATGAAGCCGGTGTTGGGATAGGGTGTGACGTCGTGGCCGAGGGGCCGATCGTGATGCGAGGTCGTCAGCACTATGGGGCTGATCCAAAAGTCCAAGCAGCGGTCGCCATCCGATGAAGGAATGACTGAGACCGGTCTTGGGGATAGATAATCACGCCGAGGCCGAGGGGCCGATCGTGATGTGCGGACGGAGATGATGAGCCGATCCGATAGTATGATGACGAGGCAAGAATGAAGCCAATCGTCATATAAGGGCGATGGTCACCATCCAGGAAGGGATGGCGAGCCCGATCGCTAGCTCAAGACTCTCGGCGCTGAGGAAGCCGGTCTTGAGATAGATAGTCACGCCGAGGCCGAGGGGCCGGTCGTGATGTGCGGATGGCGATGAAAAAAAAACCAATCCGAAATATGATGACGGGGCAATGATGAGCCGGCCGTCATATAGAGGCGATGGTCACCATCCAGGAAGGGATGGTGAGCCCAATCGCTAGCTCAAGATCGCGTTGAGACCGAGGGGTCTGTCGCGATGTGAGGATGACGACGATGATGAGCCATTCCAATAAATGATGGACGAGGCCATGATGGGCCAATCGTCATGTAAAGGCGACGGTCACCATTCAGGAAGGGATGGTGAGCCCGATCGCCAGCTCAAGACTCTCGGCGCTGAGGAAGCCAATCTTGAGGTAGATAATCACGCCGAGGCCGAGTGGCCGGTCGAGATGTGAGGACAACGACGATGAGGAGTCGGTCCAAATAATGATGACGAGGCGATGGTGAAGCCGATCGTCATATAGAGGCGATGGTCACCATCCGGGAAGGGATGGCGAGCCCGATCGCTGGCTCAAGACTCGCGGCGCTGAGGAAGCCGGTCTTGAGATAGATGATCACGCCGAGGCCGAGGGGCCGGTCGTGATGTGAGGACAACGGCGATGAGGAGCCGGTCCTATAATATGATGACGAGGCGCTGATGAAGCTGATCGTCATATAAAGGCGATTGTCACCATCCAGGAAGGGATGGTGAGCCCGATCGCTGGCTCAAGACTCGCGGCGCTGAGGAAGCCGGTCTTGAGATAGATGATCATGCCGAGGCTGAGGGGTCGGTCGTGATATGAGGACAACGGCGATGAGGAGCCGGTCCTATAATATGATGACGTGGCAAGGCGTTGGCGCCGGACTGAACATGTAGGACGGTGGAGCTGGTCCGAAGATGAGGGACGGCGCTGGGCGCTCGTCTGAGATGAGGGACGGCGCTGGGCGCTCGTCTGAAAATGAGGGACGGCGCTGGGCGCTCATCCGAAAATGAGGGACGGCGTTGGGCGCTCGTCTGAAAATGAGGGACGGCGCTGGGCGCTCGTCTGAAAATGAGGGACGGCGCTGGGCGCTCGTCTAACAAATGAGGGACGGCGTTGGGCGCTCGTCTAAGATGATGGACGGCGTTGGGCGCTCATCTGAGATGATGGACGGCGCTGGGCGCTCGTCTGAAAATGAGGGACGGCGCTAAGCGCTCGTCTAAGATGAGGGACGGCGCTGGGCGCTCGTCTAAAAATGAAGGACGGCGATGGGCGCTCGTCTAAGATGAGGGACGGCGTTAGGCGCTCGTCTGAAAATGAGGGACGGCGCTGGGTGCTCGTCTAAGATGATGGACGGCGTTGGGCGCTCGTCTGAGATGATGGACGGCGTTGGGCGCTCGTCTGAAATTGAGGGACGGCGCTGGGCGCTCGTCTAACAAATGAAGGACGTCGCTGGGCGCTCGTCTAAGATGAGGGACGGCGCTGGGCGCTCGTCTAAGATGAGGGACGGCGCTGGGCGCTCGTCTAATCCGCATGTATGGTCTTGCTTCGTCCATAATGTGTAGTATTTGCCTGATATGTACTTAGTATTGTTGTGGGGATTTCATTTTTTGTTGCTCGAGGACGGCGAGTGCGCACGGTCCTCGGCTTCCCTCTTTTATTTTTTCTTTTTCCTTTTCTTTTTTTTTATTTCCGTTTCCGTTCCCTATTTCGGGCAGTATCCTTCTTTCAGGCTTCGGCCGAAGGGTGTGCTCGTCCTTCGGCCGGTTCGGACTTCGTTTATAACGTCTGTGATCTCAGGGGGGTCCCGTCGCCTATTTATGACGCGGGCTAGACTTTTGGTTGGTTTCCAACGGCTGCCTTTGCCCAACCCTGAGTGGGGGGATTCTGCCACCTCGGCCATGATTTCAGGCCTGTCGTCCTGCGATCTGGCGCGTGGACGACGCGGTGAACTTCCCATTTCAAGACGCGGGCCGTTTGCGGGCCCCTCGTCCTAGGGACATCGTCGGCCATTCCTGAGCCCTTCGCTGATACAAAATACAAAGTGGAGCAGACCTGAGCCTTTCGCTCAAAGGCTGCTGATACGACACGTGGTATCTTCTATTTACATTTCCAAAAAATAAGTGGAATACAATAGGTGCGTTGTTCATGGCAACGGCTTTTGGGCGACGCGATTAGCGTCTCGGAGAACGAGGTGTACCGTTTACCGCTCTCGGGCATAATGCCATGTGCGGCCGGTAGCGGCTCTCATTTCATATGCCCGAGTCACCAAATAAAGGTGACTAGGGTAGGTCGAGGGACCCAAATATAATTAAAATCATCAAATAAAGATGTTCGGTAGGCTAGAGCTCGGATCCACCACTTTGGGGATTTTTGACCCGGTTTAATGTCGGTGATAAAAATAATAACGCTAATAATAATGCATCATTAGTGACCTCGGGAAATTTCAACCCGTCATAATGGTCTTCACCACCTCGGGGGTTTTTAACCCGCCATAACGGTGGTGGAAAAAATATAATTAATAATAGTAATAATTATACTACTATCATATAATAAATATTTTAAATGTATAAGTAGGAGTATTGGGCACTTAGCTTTTTATTTGGGCCAGAATATTGGGCTGAAATCACATATCCATATAGAAAGTGGATCCATGGCTTGTAGTTGAGGAGGCCCTCCACACCTTTTGACCAATTTTGACCTAGCCCCCACTAATAATCTGCTGCAAAAGCTTTCCCAGGGAGCCGTCCACGGTAGATCGTCCAAGGGAGCGCATTGATAATCCTGCGGCTAAGACCCAAGTAAAACACTCCTACTGTGGATCGTCCAAGGGAGCTGTCCACAGCTACTGGGGTGGGGAAGATGACGGTGACGGACCCAGCGGCAGAGTGCACCGATCGAAAGCGATGTCGTCAGGACTCCGTCAGCGCCGGCTATGCTCGCTCAGGTGTCGATGAGGGACGACGATGCTTCTGGCCGGCGTGAGAGTTCCGTATCCATCTGGGCGCACCTGTTCGCGTCCTGTCAATCCCGAAGCTTTTGGCCGCCATTAATGGCAGATGTTTAAGCTTAAGCTCGAGTGACCGAGTCAGATGACTACGGAGTGGCCCAGGTCCGATCCTCTAGTGGCGAAGGCAACCAATAGGATACCCGAGGTGATTTGTTGAGCATCAACCCCCACAACGCTGCGGACAAGTAGGTGGGCGCAAGTCTAGACGGGAAGCAGCAGGCCTGGAGCGACAACGGTGCTGGGTTCAGAACGACGGCGACGAGGCCTGGTACGACGTCCCAAACTTCAGCAGGTGCACCGACAGAGGGCAGATGGGGTCGGCAGTGCTCGGCGGCTCAGATCTTTCATTTCTAGATTTTTAGCGGTTCTTCACATTTTCACATCCGTTTTTGACTGATTTCTTTTTGTAATTTGGTTGAATTCTTGGATATTTTGGGAGGAATCTCACTTGATTTTGCTCTAATCTCTCAACGAGAGCACCATTGATGGATTATAGGAATCCAAACTATATAATAAATGAAGAGATTTGAGCTAAAGATAGTGAAGAAGATGGATGAATAGTAGACTGTGAATGAGTAATTACGTTCTAGGGTTACAAATGACTCCAAGAGGAGTATAAATAGGGAAATAATGGGCGGGGCCGCTAATATGTGCCCGGTAGCCCAACTACATAAAAGACTAATCTAGTACATAGTTACATACAAATGACATATAAGCAGTACAATAATACAAATGATATCCGTAAGATGTGTGTGGGCCGCTGTCTGGGCCCAATAGTCGTGAGACCCGGGGGTCCGAGTCTATATACTCTATCATACTCCCTCCGTCCCGTAAAGAAGTTCCTAGTTTGACCTACACACATATTTATGTAAGGTAGAGTTTTGTTTGACTTTCCAAGTATACCCTTACTTTATGTCAAATCAAACAAAAAGGAGGTAAAAAGTAAGGGTAGTTGTGACTTTTTGGTTAAAAGTGGTTTCCTTTTATAGAAATGAAAACTTCTTTTTGGGACATTCATAAAAAGAAAGTGAGAACTTCTTTGCGGGACGGAGGTAGTAACTATCTTGACTTAAAATTTAATAATGAAATGTGATTTAATTCCTTTGTGAAAGTTGTCCGGATTTCTTGCAATCTCTCTCTTCCATTTATTTCTGAAACATTCCGATTTGGAATTTGCGCCTCTATATATCTCGGTCAGATGCCACATGCAACAAAGAAACCTCATGACCAGCATGTTGGCAACAAAAACTATCCCATGATAGACTGATGGTCGAATCCATCATCCCCGTAGACGATGTTCTCTTCAGCTTCAACAAAACTACTCCCTCCGTCCCGTTAGAATGTTCCCGGTTTGACATACACACATATTAAGGAAATAAACTTACCAGGGAGTAAATTTTACTGTTTTGACACTGTTTCGACACTGTTTGGCATTGTTTCGACACTGTTTGACATTGTTTCACACTGTTTGACCATGTTTTGATGTAGGATAACTTTCCATTTAGGGAAATGGGAACTTTCCAACGGGACATCCAAAAAAGGAAAGCGGGAACATTCCAATGGGACGGAGGGAGTATAATTCTTCATTTTCTCCATTTTTTTCGTTTCATCCTTTCCATTAAAAAGTGGAACGGTCGGCGCTTAAGTCCAGTGTCACTATCTGATTAATGGATTAAGGCTGGAGTCACTAATTTTTGGGTCTGTTTGCAACAGTTTCTGCTTTAAAAAAAGTGCCTTTTTAATGAAATGGGGAGAAGTGATTAAATAAAAGTTGACAGTGTTTCAGAAAAAAAATGATTTTGAAAAGTAAAAGTTGGTAGTGTTTGGTAAAATAAGTGTTTTTTGTGGAATAGAAAAAGTAAAAGCACTTTTGACACAAAAGCCGAGAAAAATAAAAGTTGGTAGTGTTTGGTAAAATAAGTGTTTTTTAAGCCAAAAACTTAATAGTGTTTTTTAAAGCATTTGCAAACCAACCCTAAGAACAGGGGCGGAGGGAGGGGGCCGGTGGCCAAGCTGGGCTATGGCCTAGGGTGAATTTTTTTTTGTATTATATACTCCCTCCGATTCCTAAACAAGTTCCACATTTGACTTCACACATATTAAGAAAATAAATTTGACTTTACTGTGGAGTGCACTGTTTGACACTGTTTGAACACTGTTTGACACTGTTTTGATATAGATAATAAGGAAATGTTTTAAAGTGGAACTTAATTTTGAATCTGCCCGAAAAGGAAAGGTGAAGCTTGTTTCAGAAACGGAGAGAGTATATAGATTAAAGTGCCCCTAGGTTAAATTTGTTTTTAGAAATTGGCCCAGTGTAAAAATAATCTGGCCCAGTGAAGAAATATATGGCCCAGTGCAAAAACACTCCAGCTCCCAGTAAAAGAAGTGATGCGCCACAGTAGCATCCAAGCCAGCGGGAGACGCAGGCCAATTCCTTAACTCCTTAAGCCAGACGTCTTTCACGAATCAGGCACCATGCACGTCTCAGCCGGACGTCTCCTACTCACCGTGTGCTTGCTGACTCGCCGGAGACGCATGCTAACTCACTAACTTAAAAGGTCAACCTGATAGGAGAAGTAGCACAAGTGTTGATATAGCACTTTGTTCATCCAAACGTTTCCGGTGTGGGACATTTAACACCCCTCCTCACAACCAGACACTTTTTGTCTGGATCGTGCAATCATTCAATTTTTATCGGTCTGTTTTTTTTCATCCGGCCGTTTTTATATCATGTCATCATTTTTCATAAGGTGCCCCACACCATGGATTGATTTGTCTCTGATACCATGTTAAGACTCGAGATTTCATCCTAAAAAGTCAACTTGATAGGAGGAGGAGCTCATGTGTTAATATAGCACTTTGTTCATCCAAACGTTTCCGGTGTGGGACATTTAACACTCCCTAAGGTCTAAGCTGCTCGGGCCACTCAGCGGCTGCTCCTGCTCCGCTGCTCCCCTGTGCGGACTGCCCAGCTTTCATGGATTCCAAAAGCCGATTCTGCTTCTCCTCTCCTCAATCTTACTCTTTAAGAGTTCAAGCCAAGGTAAGGCCGGGTTTATTTTTTACGTTTTTACAATTTTTAGATCAATTAATTGTTTTATTTGTTATTTTGTTAAATTAGTTTGTATTTGCGACTTAGTTTGATTTGTGCAATTGTGTGCTTTGAATTGTGAAATACAAAAGAAATAATTACATAAATATGACGAAAATAAAGATGATTTACAAAAATATGACTAATGACTAGAGTAGTAATGAAATCATAGTAATTCATGTTTAAGTTTTGAGCTTAAGTTACCACAACACCGCATTGTAGTAATGAATAGTCATATTTATGTAAATATGTTTTATTTTAGTAATATTCTTGTAAAAAACTCAATACAAAATTAGGAATGTTAAATGTTATATGTGAATTTTTTAAAATATTAATATGAAGTATATTTATATGAATTAAAATATAATATTGATTAGTTTTTTACTTTTTTGGTAATTGTAGTTGGTATGCTACTCAATCTACTTCCAAAAGGGCAAAAATCACATTGCGTTCGTTTTATAAGTCTGGTACAGGCACACAAAGTAGACAAGAGTTAAATGCCTCAATTGAAACTCCTAATATCTCATCCGCTCAAGAGGAAGTAGTCAGGGCCGATCCTAAGAGTTTTTTGGTCTGAGTCGAGCTGTAAAAAAAGGTCCTCAAGAATTTTTGGGGAGGAAAGTTCATCTCCGGAATTCCGGAGAGGAACCGCCATCCGGACGACGGCGTTTGGGCACCTTCCCGGAGGAATTATTTGATGAAATTTTTTATTGGCCGTTAGATAAAAGATATGAAATTAGATGATCTTATTTGATGCTTGGACCTCGTGAAGAATGAATTTTTTTACAATGAAACTCGTGAAGAATGAAATTCGTAACAAGATGAAAGATAAATTTCTTGTTGATCGTTTGACCATCTTTATTGAAAAGGAATTTGCCAACAAAATCGACGTTCAGTCTGTCATAGATGAGTTTGCTAAGGTTAAAGAGCGTCATGTTCAGTTAACGTTTTAGTTTCAAACATCGTATGCATTGTTTAAAAATATTACTATGAATTTTAATGGATTTTCATCATTATGTTCACAATATTGTCGCTTTTAAAATATTTATATAATGTTTTAGTATATAGTCGGCTGATGGTATACATCAGTCCTGACTCCGCCCCTCCCTAAGAAGCTGTGAGATGAAGTTATTAGTAGTTTATTGAACCAAGGTAAGTGAGCGGTGGTCACTACGCATAACCCAATCATTGTGTTCCAGTTACACCGATCAGTAGTCACTACGAATGGGTGATGGTGTCACACTGTAACTGTGTTGTGGCTGAGTTCATGTGGTGTCACTGATATATCACTGAGTTCAAGAAATTAGAGTACTCCTAAACTATGACTTTTAGTCACACACTGCATATGCTATTTAATTCTTCTGATTGTTTTTGCATGGAATTGGTTGGTAACGTCTGTCCATTATATTTATGGTAGTTGCCACATTACAAAGGCACGTGGATAACCTTTTTAGAATGTTTTTATTTGGACTATTTTCAGTCTCAAACCAAATCAGATCAGACTTGGACAGTTATAAAATAGAAAGAGACTAGACATTTACCAGATTGGATCAGACCAGATTAGATAGATCAGAAAATTTTAATCCTAGTAAAAAGTTCCTTAGACACTTTTTTGTCTTTCAACCTCCCCTTGATAATATACATTAAAACGCCAATAAAGTACGGAGTATCATTCAAGGTGAATCTCATGTTACTCCCAAACATAAATTTCTTCTATTTGCATTGATTATCACCCGTGTATTCAATCCCATCAATGTACTTTCTTCTATATATGGAGCACGTTCCTAGTCAAAAATATACTCGTATATTTTTTGTGCTCATTAATGTTTTCTAGAAAATTTAGTAATTTACTCCAATTTCATGGTCATAATTTATAAAATCAATTATAAGTTTATTAAATTTACTGGTGGGCGTAGCTCAACGGGTAGCAAGAGAGTGCCACAAGGGTTCCTGGGTTCGAATCCCGGCAACTGCGATGAGGAGTTACTATGCTAAAAATGCATAGGGCCTCTGCAAGTATCGAGGACATAGCATCACTTTCTATCTGTCAGATTGGGATTATAATCCAATTTACGTCCTCCCAAAGTACCGTCCGGTCGGTGTTGGGGGGCCTCAGGGATGGGGTGTCATCCTTTTTTTTCAATTATAAGTTTTTTTTAATAATCCAGTTGTCGGGGCTTACGCTCCCATAATTCTGGAGTCTATGAACTACCCTCCAAAGCCCCTAGACAGTTAAATTCGGATCTGATCACAGCCAGTCTCGTCAGTACTGGCTCCAAAGGACGAATCCAGCAGACTTACATCACCTTTCAGGTTGCTCCTCCCACCACACGAACCCGCTACCTCCATTACCATCTTCTCCCTCCTCAGCCGCTGAGCAACTCCGTGAAGTTAGGAAGAATCATTGGAATCAAGACTTTCATCATCTCCTTTTGATGGAATTGAACCCAAGATCTCCCACAAAGGAGAGACTTGAGGTGGATGATCATCCAAAAGACTACATCCACCTTCTCAATTATAAGTTTTATTATTTGCACGGGTGGTGTCACGTCTCCACGAATCCTCCCCTTGCGATTTGCGATCAGCCTCTTTGACCGATGAAAGCTAAGGATTTGGAAAAGTTAAGGTAGAGACAAAATCTTTGAAGTCACCAATCCACTTATTGTTTGGTAGTTGTCTTTCTTGCATACTTCAAGCAAATATTGGTTGGTATTTTAAAGGTAGGTTTTAGAGTAATTAGACGGCCGAGAAAAGCCCACGATTTACAAACTATTAATCTTGTCTTGAATCATCAAGGGAAATTATATTTGCAAAAGATAGGTCTTTTCCGATCTTTTGCGTTAACATTTTCAAATATGTACTTCTCCTTTTCGATTTAAATAGTTCAAGGCTTTCCGCTTAAAAGCTATAAGGAGATGGACAAAGTTACTTTTCATATACGGAGTATCTTATTACATAAACAAATTAATTTTTCATATAACCTTTAAAATAAGTTATTTCTCAAAAGTAAACGTAAGTAATCTAATTGATTTGTTTTAGAAATAATATGAAAATGTATAGTGACAAAAGTTAATACGGAGTATTGTTTTAGAAATGTTAAGGGCATGTTTACTAACAGAGATATTTTCCTTTTTCCTACTTCTGTTTTTTGTTCTCCGGTTTTCTGTTTTTATTTTTCTGTTTTCTATCTCCAATTTCTGTTTCTATTTTTTAGTTTTTCATTTTCAAATTTGAAAACATGTTCATAAATTTTTTCACCAAGTTTAAAACGCAGTTATCTTCAAGAATTTATTTGAATGCCTTCCCGATTGAAGTTTTAGCTAAAATTTGGTATGAGTAAACTAGACTTAATGAATAAGATGCTTAAAAAAATTTATCAAAAAATTCCACCGGGAACCGCCTCAAATGGCGACGGTCGGACAGTAAGGACTTATTTGACCTTTTTTATGCAACTTCGAGTACCAATCTGACTCTTACCTCTTAAAATATATTCGGGGTATGCTATTAATAAAATAAAGAAAAAATTAAATGGAAAAATAGTTAAAATGATCATCTTCAGTAGCTTCAACCAATACAACCAGAAAAGTAACTAAAATCTTGTTTATTATTATTATTATTACACAATTTAGCGCGAAAATATAAAATTATGTGTTTGATTAAAAAAAATTGACTGATAAACCTAATATTCCGAAAAACAGACTTATCAAACGAGTTCATAATGTTTTACTTTATACTGTTTTAGTCTTGATATCAATCAATTTTTAACTTTTATCCTCCGTACTCTTTTAACAACATCTATAGATAAAACATCTATAGATAATACTTCCTCCGTCCCGAAATAATTGTCATGCTTTCCTTTTCGGTCCGTCCCGAAATAATTGTCCTCTTTCCTTATTTGGTAAATAAATCTATACAAAACAGTGTCAAACGGTGCCAAACAGTGTCACTACAGTGCCAAACAGTGTCGCTACAGTGCCAAACAGTGTCGCTACAGAGTGAAGTCAACTTTGTTTTCTTAATCTGTGTGAAGGTCAAAACAGGACGATTATTTCGGGACGGAGGAAGTACATTTAGAGAGATACAAATATGGAAAGTTTTGCCATGTGTAATCTTCTAAGCAAACTTTTATTATGATATTTTACATTTTTTCCCAATTTAGTAAATAAATTATACTTCCGTTAATAAGTACTCCGTATTAAAGCTAATAAATTAGATTAGAACTCTTTTAACGTTAAGTTAGAAAACCTCTTAAAGCTAGGTGATTCAAAAAATAAAATCTCATATTTATTTTAAATTGCTATAACTTTTTAATTTGTACATTGATTGTTACAAAAAATATATCATAATTTATAACTTTTTATTATCTTTCATATGAGACTAAAATTGAATATATAAATATAAAAATATAATTTAACACTTTTTATATACAGGTTTTGAAAAATAATTTAACACTTTGAAAAATATCTGTTTTTAAAATATATGGAGTTCTAAATTTTAGGAAGGACTCTGTTAAAAGCGTTTTAAATTGGATTGGTCTTGTTGTCTGATTTGTCTGTTCTGGTTGGATTTGGTCTGATCTGTATGATCTAATCTGGTCAGGTCATATTACCCGGGCATTTGTTTTTACTCTTTTTTCCAAACAAATTTACCTCATCAAACTAACAATTCAAATGAAACATTTCAAAATTTTACATAAATAATGTATAGAACTTTGTTGATACTAATCGAACACGGCAAAATTTTCATCGTAATTGTATTTTTAAAATCATTGGAAAAAGTATTTAAACTAAGAGTTTAAATAAATGTTATACGTGTTAGGATGTTTTTAATTGGACTGTAATCTGTTGATCTGGTCTGGTATGGTCTGGTCTGAACTGATCTGGTCTGGTCTGGTCTGGTTTCTTTATATTTTTATAACTATCCAAGTCTGTTCTGGTCTGATCTGATCTGGTCTGGGATGAATTACAGTCCAAGTAAAAACATCCTTAAATTATTTTACAAAATAGATATATAAAAAGTGTTAATTTAAATTATTTTTTTGTTTTTATATACTATCTATGCCCCTTACAACCTTGTCAAAGTTGACCGACATGAGGATTAATAAAGAAAAAATTGTGTGGTTGAAATTGGTGAAGAGGAGAGAGATTAACTGGAACCACAAATTCTTTACCTAAATAGGAAAGTGACAAAGTTAGTGGAACATCCAAAAAACGAAAGTTGACAAAGTTTTATTGGACGGAGGGAGTATTCAATATTGGTCTCATATGAAAGTTAATAAAAAGTTATAAATTGTGGTATTTTTTTGTAACCATCGAAGTACAAATTAAAAAGTTATAGCACTCTAAAATAAATATGAGATTTTATTTTTTGACTTACCTAGCTTTAAGAGGTTTTCTAAATTAATGTATCATGAGTCCTAATTTACCTTTAATTTACGGAAGTATAATTTATTTACTAAATTGGAAATAAAATCTAAAATATTATAATGAAATTTTGAGCCCCGATGAATTCTAATTTAACACGACAAAATTTCCATAACTTTAATTGTTTTTTGAAAATTTTAAAAATAATACAAAGTACTTTGAGTAATTCTTTGTAATACATATAGTGATATACTATGAGTAATAAAAAGCTATTACAAATTAACTGTAGCTACATGTAAATAAATGTACAACACGTCTAACATTTATTTAAACTGAGTTTAAATACTTTTTCAAATGATTTTAAAAATACAATTACGAATTATGGAAATTTTGTCGTGTTCGATTAGTATCAACAAAGTTTACATAAATAATGTAAAATTCGAAATGTTGCATTTGAACTATTAGTTGGATGCGGTAAATTTGTTTGGAAAAAAGAGTAAAAAAATGCCCGGGTAATATGGCCTGACCAAATTAGATCATACAAATCAGACCAAATCCAATCACAACAGACAAATCAGATAAAAAAAACAGTCCAATTAACAACGCTTTTAATGGATTCCTTCCTGAAATTTAAAAGTCCATATATATATCAGATTAGAATTCAATAAATCTTCTGAGAGTATTAATGAGTAAAAGTTGAAGTTAATTAGCTTACTATGGAGTTATATAATCACTACACAAGTAGAAGTGAGATAGACATGTAAAATTAAATTAGCCCCTTATTATGAGGTGCATCATTCATATTTTAAAAATATTCAGCAGTACATTTTTATTTGTCACCAAAAATTGAGATGATGACGCATGATTACTTTAATACTCAAATGCAAAAAGGGACTTTAAAACTTATACAAGAAACATAAAAAACTAATTCATTGATAATGATCTAATTGAGAAAACAAATCTTAAAAGCATTTCAAAATCATGAATATGAATTTTATTCATAAAGGTAAATTGTGTTGAATAGCTCCGAGCCACCAACTTCTCAATGAGATTGTTAAGCTGCAAAAGAATTGCCTAGCCTATGGTATTCTTTTTTTCTGATTTTTAAACTGCACCCATACAACTTTAATAATATCATTAGACTTGAAAACCCAAATTTTCATAAATTAGCATATTGATCATATTATATATAAGTCTATAATAGAGAAAACAAGTTTACATGTATAACTTTGCCAGTAACATACCCATTATACACTACAAAAAAACACGAGATTGACACGAAATTTGGCACAAATGTATCGATTTTTTGTGCCAAATAGCTCGTGCCGAAGTGTTTTTAGCACGGATTTGGCATATCCTTGCCAAATCCTTCTTCTTTTTTTAAATCCTGCCAAAATCCCTGTCAATCATGTGCTTTTTTGTAGTGATATAGACATTCTTCAAACTCAATTATCTTAATTAGAAATATAGAATATAATGTCCTATTTTAATCGATAGACATACATCCTTCATATCAAATATCTAAAAAATTGAAACAAATAATACTCACCTCCAAACTTGAAATACTCGGACATGTACTATAACACAAATCTTTGATGTTTTCTTAGTATGAATCCAGGTATCTACTTTCTGAAAAGACTACGTGCACACGTTGTAGAATTATTGGAATATATCGCATCCTAATAGATATTAGTGTCTCTTTAAGACATAATTGATGTATGATAAAACAATAATAGTATTACCCGAATTAATGTATTTAAAGTAATTCCTTCATTTAATACGTACTGTTTACATGAAAATCATAAACCTAAAAGTCTTATACGGGACAAAATTGAAAATCCACAACACAAAGAGTCTATTGCAATCACCTCGAAGATATACATTCTCTGTTCAATGGTGAACTCTTAGAAGTTGATACACAATCTCTTTAAATAAGGGTGTGAAAATTATATTCTGATTTCCGTATAAGAATGTGGAAATGAAATGACAAATTTGAAACTAAAGTGAAAAGGGGACCAAAAAATATCAATAAGATAGAATGTTGTAGTAACTAGAGTAAAAGAAAAGAATTAATGATGATATAATCGTATGACTAGGAAAATAAATAACATTTTATATAATATTTAATTAAATATAATAACTACAAGTACTTAATAGAAATGAAAGTGAAATACAAGAGAATAAAAATCTTTTAAGCACCCCCAAACCATTTCAATAAAATTGTTTAAAAAATCTAATAACTTCCAAATCATTGGTAAAATGAAAAAAGAGTGAAACATCTTAAAATGAAAGTGGGAAAAATTAAATAGCAATATTGCATGTGTTAAAATTTGTTGAGTATTAATTTTTCTTAATGTTATCTCAAATTTATGTCCACCTTTCTAATTAAGGATATTTTCAATTGAAATCGGTTTTTTATATCATTTATGAAATTACAAGTTATTTTGTAGTTTCGTGTATGTATTAATATAATCTTGATATATTTTGGGCGAGAGTTTCAACTCCCGAAATTTTTTATTAATTGCATATATCATTCCTATCACGACATTAAAAGTGGTGTTTAAGAGCTAGATAAACAAGCTAGACCGTATATAAAAGGTACGGAGTAATTCTTTTACTCATGGATGTAACTTTAATATAGTACTACTTGGTCATGAAAATTGTGATCATTTTCGTTTATGAATATGAGGCGTTTGTATTTTTATTTTTCGTTGCATATTTTGAAATGTTTGTGTTTCGATTTCAGCTACCCCTTGATGAGAATCTTTTATAGGTTTTATTCATTTAACCTTCTTCTAAGTAAGCATTGTCTATTAAAGTCTGAAGCATGCAATTTTACTTTTTCAATAATACTACCTCCACCCCCTAAGTCTAGGACAAGTTCGGGACAAAGGGGGTGACGTGGTTTTTAAGAAAATGTAGAATTTTGTGGTTGGTATTGAATTGATAAAGTGTGAATAAAGTAAGAATGAATTCTAACAACTTAAATATTATCAAAATATTATCAAAATGTAAAACGAAAGAATGTTAAGTGGACGGAGAGAGTAATTATTTTACTTAATAAGATCACATATATCTTCAATAACTCAATCTAATGAATAATAAATTGATAACCGTACAACCAAGCACAATATGCTGTCTATTGTCACCGACATCACCTTCATTAAAATCAGAATGTCACAGAACTGTATATTCTAAACTATTTTCTTAAAGAAATAGATCAAAATACTAAGGCTATGTTTGGCAGACACAAGTCTCTGTCTTCTAGCTTTTGTTTTGTTCAAAAAGTCTTTAAAAGCTTCTAGTTGTATGTTCGGCATGACAATTTTTAAGAGTTTTTCAAAAATTAAAAGATCCTTTTTGAGATGCTACATGGAGAAGCATCTGAGAAAAGCCCGTGACTTTTAGTATTAATTAGTCCTAACAGCTTGTATACCAAATCGAACTAAATCAAACAGACAACTTTTTACCAATCAGATATCGACTTTTCTTTTTAAGATCTTTTCAGTCATTAAAAGCTAACAGTTATTAAAAAGCTCATAAAAGTATCTTTTCAGCTACTTGTACCAAACATGCCCTAATTTGAAATTTTCTAAAGTCTAGAAGGGCTAATATTTATAAAACAAATCGACTACACCCATTTTCAGATAAATAAGTTACAAAAATGTGTAGTTAGTTTTAAAAAACAGTAAGACGAATGAAATTTAATAGATAAAAATAGACATTGAACAATTTGTTTTTGTTTAGATAAAAATAGATTAATTTCAATTGAATGTTATTGTAAGTTTTAAAAAAATATGTCATTTTCATTGTAAAATATAGACAGGAAACATGTTTAGATAATTAATTTAAGTGTAAGGCATTCTCTATAAATTAGAATATGCATTTTAAATAAATGTTATAATCGACTAAATAAGTGATTTTTCGTTAATAAAACTAAATGACAAAATCATTTTATCCCGTGCAAGGCACGGGTAAAATAGTAGTTTCACTAATTTCAGGAAGGTTCTTTCATGCACCACCCCCGTTTGATTTACCTTTATATGTTCAGCAATTGAGGCGGTGCTGAACTTCGTGGAAGGCTGGGAGGATAAAGTTTTTGGGTATAAAACGAAAAGCTCCAGTGATTTGCCTTCACTCATTTGAGAGCTCTAATCCAAAGTACAAAGTTTGAATGAATCCCCAGAATATTTAGCCAGCATGTGATTTCACTATAAAGTACTCCGTATACTGTAAAGCAAATTGTAGGGTGCCCCACCCACCCCCACCTTTTGCCAGGCTTGGGTTTGATATACTTGAAAGTTGCCATTTTGTATGGACTGCCGAGGCCTATGGGGCATACTGGGATGGCTAAAACAGCAACGCGAACTGTTATAACCTTTTCTGTGCCATAAGGTGAAAGCCAGTTCGTAGTTTCTTGCTCATTAAATCGCCATTGCTGACTTCCTCCCAGTCTCGAGCTTTTTAAAGGGCCTGAAGTGAAGGTGGGTATTGGAAATCATGTCTATTTGAGTGTCAATCTAAGTTTACATCCTATATAACATTGGCCAAAACTGCATTTTTCTTAGAAAATAATTATACTTGGTCTTCCCGTGGATACATGCATGTCGACATTTTACCTTCCATGGATTCCTCTGTTCTCAGTTGAAACGGACATTTAATATGGTATATCCCTGATAGAGTCATGGAAATTGATTATCTGTCCTATTTAAGAGAATCTCACAGTACAATTGGGTGGTTTTATTTCTACAATTTAAACTTTTCCAGGAATCTCATACCATATTTCTGATTCATCTTTAATTCTTCATTCATGTGCTTTCTTATATGTGTGATTCATGGTTTGGTTTTATGCTCTGTAGGTGGTCTGTCTTGGTGTTGTACATTCTTTGTTTTTTTTATATCTATTATTTTCTCTTTCCTGGTTTTTTGTTTACATTTATGGGTTTTTTAGGTTAGGGGTTAAGGACTTTCAAGTTGGATAAGTTTATTGGCATCTCAAGAGTGATGGACATCATTTTGAAGCTAATCAAAGCAGCATTTTTTATGCTGCTATTGCTATGGTGGTTGAGGGATGTTTTGAAGAGAAAGAGACAAGGCGGTACTGTTGTTGATGATGATGCTTCCAGACATAAAGGAAAAACCATGATTTTAAAGAAGATTGCAGTCTCACTGAACTTTATCATAGCAATATCTTTTCTGGGATTTTATCTCCATGTCATCTGGAGAGTTGGACACTATTCCATTGATGATTATGTTTTATCAGCCTTAACGTGGACTGCAGCTAGTTTAGTATCTCTGTATTCATTAAACCGAAAATCGGAAGATAACAGGTGGCCTTTGATGCTTGTTCTCTGGTGGGTCTTTTCGGCAGTATGTTATTTACTTTTGGTCATTTTTCATCTTGCCACCCTTTACTGTTACATTAAGGTTCCATTCGTAATCCCGAAGACCAACATCGTTGATTTGGTCACTCTGCCACTGTCAATTGGATTGTGTTTTCACATGCTTCCCAAGTTTTCTACCACAAGAGAACAGAATGAGGCACAACAGCCGTTTCTTCCAAAAGAATGCCATGACCCCTTTTGTAGTGCTGGGATTTGGAGCTGTGCTATGTTCATGTGGCTTAATCCACTGTTTAAGAAGGGGCTTCATGAAAGACTGAGACTAAAACACATACCTTCCATTCCTGAATTTGATACGGCTGAGCATGCTTCATCTTTGTTGGAAGAAGCCCTTCGGGTGCAGATAGCTCCTTCACTTCCCAGTGCAATAATCCATGCTGTTTGGTGGCCTCTCACTGCAAATGCCTTTTTTGCAGGTACATTCTTCATAGAAGTAATATTTTTGAAATGTCACATATGGTTAGATTGCTAGTATTTTTAAGAAAAATATCAACGATTTGAAATGAATTCGAATAAATGTTAAAAATAGATTTATTGCTTAACAAGAAATCATCTACTTTATGTCTCCTTCCAAAAATGGGCCCTTAGAGAATGGAAATACTTGACAGAAATGCTCTTAAGAAGATTCAATACCTCCATTTATGTCCAATCAAGTCCTTTCCCAATAACATTCTCTACCCAAAAACAATTTTTTTCCTTCATTGTTTTCCAGTTTTAAGACTTGGGTTTTGTATAAATAATCGCTTTTGTCATTTGACATTGTAGGTGTTAACACAATTGCATCATATACATGTCTCTTGCTGATCACGAGCTTTGTGAAGTTCTTATCAGAAAAACATGATGATTTAAACTATCTTCGTCATGGATTACTTCTCGCATTTGTATTCCTCTTTGCAAAAACCATAGAATCATTGTCCCAAAGACAATGGTATTTTGGTGCTCATCGAATAGGCATTAGAATTAGAGCTGCTCTTATGGCATTGACATACAAAAAGTCTCTACTGGTCAAGCATGATGTCACAAGAAATGGACAAGTCATCAATTTCCTTAATGTAGATGTTGAGAGGATAGGGGACTTCTTCTGGCACATTCATGGAATCTGGTTGCTCCCTGTTCAGGTCATTTTTGCATTGATAATCTTGGGCTTGAACTTGGGTGTTCTTCCCTCAATCGCTGCACTTTTCACCACAATTATTGTTATGGTGAGCAACACCCCACTTGCCAGTATGCAAGAACAGCTGCACTCGAAGATTATGGAAGCTCGAGACTTTAGAGTCAAAGCCACTTCTGAAACGTTAAAAAACATCAAAGTCTTGAAACTGCATTCATGGGAATCATCATTCATGAAGAAGTTGCTTCAACTAAGAGCAACAGAGAGGAGTGTCTTAAGGAGATACCTATATACCTGTTCTGCTGTGGTTTTTCTCTTCTGGGCTTCACCAACTTTAGTGTCCGTTGTGACTTTTGGTGTTTGCGTTGTGCTCAAAACACCTCTAAGTGCAGGAACTGTCCTTTCTGCTTTAGCGACTTTTCGTATCCTGCAAGAGCCCATATACAACCTCCCTGAGCTGATATCTGTGATTGCTCAGACAAAGGTTTCAGTTGACCGGATGCAAGGTTTTATCATAGAGGAAAGCCAGAAGAGTTTGACAGGATATCTTGCTCCCAATGACACAACTGCTGATGTGGCAGTTGAGATTGAGCCTGGAGAGTATTCTTGGGGAAGCGACTACATGAGAAAACCCACAATTAAGATAACTGAGAAAATAAAAATCAGGAAGGGATACAAAGTTGCAATCTGTGGTTCTGTTGGTTCAGGCAAGTCAAGCTTTCTCAGCAGCATTATGGGTGAGATCCCAAAGGTTTTTGGGCGAAGTGTCAAGACTAATGGCTCAAAAGCACTAGTGTCACAAAGTGCATGGATTCAGACAGGGACTGTTAGAGAGAATGTGTTGTTTGGGAAGGAAATGGATGCAGGTCGATATCATGATGTTCTGGAACGATGTGCTTTAAAACGTGATATTGAAATGTTGGTTGATGGAGATCTTACTATGGTGGGAGAAAGAGGAATAAACCTAAGTGGGGGGCAAAAACAAAGGATTCAATTGGCCAGGGCAGTTTACAGTGACTCAGACATATATCTCCTAGATGATCCTTTCAGTGCCGTTGATGCCAAAACTGGTGCTCATATCTTCAAGGCGAGTAGTAAGCTATACTTTTTTTCTTCAAAAATTCAGTTTTTTTAATCTAACCTCTTGAATTACAGCAACTAACTGAGAATCATTTCTCAGAAATGTCTGATGGAGACTCTGCATGGCAAAACTGTTATTTATGCCACACACCAGTTAGAATTTTTAGATGCCTCAGATCTTGTCTTGGTAAGTTTCCATAAAGCAATATTTACTGTATAATCTATAATTTACCAGGAAAATTATTGTTCCCCTTGAGGTTAGGGCATAATTACTAGCCAACCTTTGAATGATTTAACTCCTTGAGGTTAGGGCATAATACTAATTGGTAACTCCTCGAGCTTTGGTTATTCTCACAAGTTCCGACTTATGTAATAGTTTATCTCATTTGTCTACACTCAACTTAAAATATTCTCTCTTAAAAGAGTAAAAACCTTTTTATCATTATAAGCCTTGAATGATTCTCGGTGTTCTCCCTCATCTGCCACAGTTGAAGTTATTTCTTCCACGATTTGAAGAGGGGGGAATATCTAGCAGCACAGTGGAATATAAATATATAATGATGAAGGACAAATGTTTTTACCTGTAAAGTTTTAAGAGAAGATATTTTTGACAACTTTCGTTTGATTTGGCAGTTATAAAGTCAAGATGAAATAAATATCGAAGTGGAAGTTCTGAGATTAATCAAAACTCGTAAACTAATTCACTTTTGAATTCACACTGTTGGACTAGCAATTATGACTTAACCTCAAGTGGGTAACAATAATTTTCCCTTATAAATGCATGCATTTATCACCGACAGATTTAATCTGATTGCTTTTGTTATTTTATTGTGTAGGTAATAAAAGATGGTACAATAGTTCAGTCAGGGAAGTATGAAAATCTGATAGGAGACTTGAATGGTGAGCTTGTGAGACACATGGCTGCACACCAAAAATCACTAAATCAAGTCAGCCCTTCCAAAAACTATTGCATAAACAAGTGTCAAAATCCAAACAACTTGATGATTGAAATGATAGAAGAATGTGAAGAACTTACGTTCAATGATAAACAGTTGGAAAACTCTCAGCAGGAAGAGACTGAATCAGGCCGAGTTAAATGGAGTGTATACTCTACTTTTGTGACCTCTGCATATAAAGGGTCTCTGGTCCCCCCTGTTCTTTTATGTCATATTCTTTTCCAGGGGTTGCAAATGGCAAGTAATTACTGGATGGCATGGGGAACTGAAAAAGGAAGAGTTTCCAGAGAGCAACTGATTGGGATGTTTGTCTTGCTTTCAGGCGGAAGCACTATCTTTATCTTGGGCAGGGCATTTTTGCTTTCAACTATTGCAATTGAGACTTCTCAGCAGTTTTTTACCCGAATGACTGAATCAGTTTTCCGTGCACCTATGTCATTTTTTGACTCTACACCCTCGAGCAGAATTCTCAACCGTGTTAGTAGTATTTTTTGTACTAACTTACAGAGAAGTAACAAAAATATTAACCTCGGATAGAATTTTTGTAACTTCTATTGTTTAAACTTATTTATATCAGGCCTCCACAGATCAAAGCACTCTGGATACGGATATACCTTATAGATTGGCAGGTCTGGTGTTTGCTCTTATACAACTACTCAGCATCATTATACTCATGTGCCAAGCTGCGTGGCAGGTCTTTATCATCTTCCTAGTCATACTTCCCATCTCCATGTGGTATCAGGTAAATATATGTCATATTGCAATTATAAAATGCTATCAGTGCACTTATTGTATGATTTTAAACATGTGGAAAAGATTATGATGATTCAACAATTCTAAAATTGCAGTCTTATTACATCAAATCTGCTAGAGAACTAGCTAGGATGGGTTCTATCCAGAAAGCTCCAATTCTCCATCATTTTTCAGAGTCACTCCATGGAGCAGCAACAATTCGTTGCTTTGCTCAGGAATTTCGCTTCTTGCAGAAAAACTTGAGTTTCATTGATGATTACTCGCGCGTTTCATTTTTCAACTTCGCCACAATGGAATGGCTTTGCCTGAGGATCAACTTCCTTTTCAACCTTGCCTTTTTCGTTCTTCTCATCATTTTGGTGAACCTTCCAAGATCAGCCATTGATCCCAGTAAGTTCTTTCTAGATGAACTAAATTTTATTTGGTTCAATGATTATATAGACATTATGGACAAGTAGGCAACATAAAACTTGATTCTTATACCCCTTCTTTTGTTAACTTTTTTGTACCTGAAGTTTTTTCACAACTTTGATAGTGTAGTAGTTGGGATTAGTGAATGTGTGAAAAATGAAAATGCAGGAAAGAGTAGAGTAGGAAAGGGAAGATCAAAATGAAGAAAAAGTTGGAAAGAGAAGATGCAAAAGTAAGATGGAAGTTATTGAAATGGAAATGGAGAAAGGATTAAAAACTTCCCTAAAAAATGGAGTAACAAATAAAGAACAGTGGGAGCATAATATAATTGTTTTTGGGTACTACAACTATTTGCTAAATGAACTCACCAAGCGAATGATTTCAAGCTACTGCGATAACAGCTAATAATTTATGTTTTTAGTGACAATAGCAACAATGACAAATCAAAAATAGCAGCAGGGAACAGTATCCACATGCCCTTATCTTCTACTATACCGCTAACTTTTTATAACCCGTCTGCTTTCAGTATTAGAAATAGTTGTGCATAAATAATTGATTGCAGTGTATATAATTAAAACTTTTGGTCTGGCTTTAGTTGCAATGATCATTATATATCACGTTCTAGGGTATTAGATGGACATTTTTGTTTGTTTGCAGGCTTAGCAGGACTTGCTGCTACATATGGATTAAATCTTAATGTTCTTCAAGCCTGGTTTATTTGGAACCTTTGCAATGTAGAGAACAAAATGATTTCAGTTGAAAGAATATTACAATTCACCAATATACCCAGTGAAGCTCCACTTATTGTTGAAAACAGCAGACCAAAGTCAGAGTGGCCAGAGAGGGGAAGAATTCAAATTGAAAATCTTCAAGTGCAGTATAGCCCTGATCTTCCTTTAGTTTTAAAAGGAATCACTTGCATCTTTCTTGAGGGAAAGAAAATCGGTGTGGTTGGAAGAACTGGAAGTGGTAAGTCCACGCTTATTCAAGCCCTCTTCCGGGTTGTAGAGCCGTCACAAGGACGGATCATGATTGATGAAATAGACATTTCAAACATTGGTTTGCAAGATTTGAGGTCTCAGCTGAGTATAATACCACAAGATCCAGCTTTGTTTCAAGGAACTGTGAGGACCAATATCGATCCCCTTGAGCAGCACACAGACCATGACATTTGGGAGGTAAAAATTGTAAATAGTGAGAAAATGCCCTAAATATGTTTTCAGTCCTTGCGAATATAACATTTTTTGTTTTAGATCTCTGCAATTTTTTGTTTTGTTTTCATCCATGTAATTACGGTACTTCATATTTTCTTTTCAGTCCCTCCCTAACTCTTTAGCAATCTCCAATTAGAACAAAAAAAGTCTCCATCGTAACTCTACTCTAAACTTTCCACTTCGACCTTTTAAAACCTTTTAAAGATTTTTCTTATTGGGGTTAACTGTTAAGACTAAGCATCTTTTAAAAGTCAGCATTTTAATCTTCCAAAAAAATAAAAATCAGCATTTTAATATAGGTCGTTTGGAAATAAAATTTAAATGTTTCCTATAATAAAGTGACACGGAAGAACAAAAGAGATTAAATGATTAATGTTAGTCATGTATGTTATGACAGTTATGTTGTTAAACAGAATATGCTAGTTATAGAATGATTAGAAAGAAAACATGGTAAATTAGATGGATGAAAAACAAAGATATGTTTTTTGCAGGCAACTGAATAAGACATTATACTAGCAGGGACCAGAAACATATTTAAGCCGATTCTTACATACTTGCATATTAATAATAATGTAAAACATATGACAACAACTTTTAGTGTCTCAATGTGGCTGTAGGTTGTGGATAAATGCCACCTTGCTGGGATAGTAAAGCAGGATTACAGACACCTAGATGCACCAGGTACAGAGTGATAAGTCGTAATGTAGATCCAATTTAAATGAAGTGATAGTTTTCTGAAAGTTTGGAGAATTCCACAGTTGCTGAAGATGGGGAAAACTGGAGTATAGGGCAAAGGCAGCTTGTTTGTTTGGCAAGGGCCTTACTACAGAGGAAGAGGATTTTGGTGCTTGATGAAGCTACGGCTTCAGTAGATACAGCTACTGACAATGTTATTCAGAAAACAATACGAGAAGAAACTAGTGGTTGCACAGTCATAACTGTCGCGCATCGGATTCCCACTGTCATTGACAATGACCTTGTCCTTGTACTTGATGAAGGTAAGTGATGCAATCATGCTATGACTAGCAATATATGGATGCAAAGAAACATATCCCTTGATAAAAGAGAACATTTTGACCAAACGAATAGCAATTCCTCATCATAATAATCACTGCAGACTTTTTGGTCCCTAAACTTGAGGGGCCATCCACACTGCCATTGTACCCACATTGTTGTCCACAAAATGGAAAATACAAGAAGAATCCAAACCCCGCTGATTTGCGGTCACCTAATTTGAATTATGTCCTTGTGAAGCTATTTCTTTCCCCTTTATCCCAAACAGTTTTTCACCACATTCTCACACTACCTTTAACCATTGAAAGTCGTGTTTTGCACTTATGTTGTACTTCAATTTTTAAAACATTAAATAATTTCACGATGTTTCAAATTATTATCACCTTTTCAAACTTCCACAAAATTTTCTCGCGGGGTTCTCATGGAAACAGCCCCTCTGCCCTGAGGGTTAGAAGTAAGGTCTGTGCAGGTCTAACTCTTAAGCCCTACTTCTGAGTGCAACGTACTGGCAATATATGCTTTGGTTTGGCTGGGTTGAGCTATCTTCGTTTTGGTTTGATGCAGGAAAAATTCTTGAATATGATTCTCCTGCTCGGCTACTTGAAGATGATTCCTCTGCATTTTCTAATTTGGTGAGGGAATTCTTGAGAAGATCCACCAAGGCAGGCCAATTGTGATGTACGGCTTAGACACACTCTAAACTCCATGCCATTTCTCTCCTCAGAACAACCCTGAGCACTCTCATGAACAGCAGCTAGAAGAGGGACGGTTGATTCAACTGGAGTCAGCTTAGGATATTATCTGATCACATCTAACACAGCCTAGTTATAAATGTAGCAGTGAATTGGGTGATTGAAACAAAGGTTTCTTAATCAACCTACCGGCAGGGAACAATATGAGAGTATTTATATCAAAATTGTTTCAAATAAGAGTAAAACAAACATGAATGAAGTGCACAAACACTACTGATAAAGGGAAAATCGCACATTTCGTCCCTGAAATAGTCGCCATATTGAAATGTCAGATCCGTATTTCGGAGGTTGTAATTGTCACCACTCACTTGTCCAAATTGATGTAAATGTGGTCCTTTGAGGGGTGAAATGTACTCCTCGTCCATAGTGTACATTTCACCCTCAAAGGATCACATTTACAGCAAATTGGACAATTAAGGGGTGAAATTTACAAACTCGGGAATACGGGTCTGACATTTCAATATGGTGACTATTTCAGGGACTAAGAGTGCGATTTGAGGAAATGTATTATGTTTTAATCATTGGGAGTTTGTAGTTTCTTTCAGTACAGTGTTTATTCGCTTGGGCATTGTACAGTTTGTTTCGTTTCTAGATTGGTAGAGGAGCCTCCTTTGTTGTGAAAACCATGCTATGCTAGGCCTGGGTGGCTGTCGGGTGTTTACGGCTTACCTCGGCTGACTGCATAGGTAGAGCAGCCTACAATTTCTAATAATAAAACTGTATATCGATTTGCACAATTGCACCATAATTTGTTTTTTTTTGTTGCTTGGGTATTTGGTAAGACCTTACTCGGAGCATATTCTACCATTTATGTTGGCTTAAAACATACTTGTATTAGTTGTATATGGCTGTAGGGATTTTTACCTGTGGCTGTCACTGAAACACAAGTCTTTCTCCATTTTAGTTTTTGGTTAGCCATTTTAAACCACTCCATCAGTTCAGGCAAAAGTCTAGGGATGGACCCGGTCCGGTTCCGGGCTGGGCCCGGGTGGGCTTTTTTTGCAAATTCATGGGCCCGGAACCGGCCCGGGTTGATATCGGGTCCGGGCCTAACCGAGTCCGGGCCGGGCCCAGTTCGATGTCTATTTTTTTTTTTTTGCTTTCTTGTTAATCCCCCGACTACCCCCCTCACCCCCACCCCCCAAGCCTCCCCAAAACACCCAGCCCTAGCCTAGGAAAAGAAAAAAAAACGAAAAAAAAAAACAAAGACTCAGGCCCGGCCCGAACCACCCGGGCCGGTTCGCCCAAAACTGGGCCTGACCCCGGCCCGCCCGACCCCGGCCCGCCCGACCCGCCCAAACGGGCTAAAATCCCGGAACCGGCCGACCGGTCCCGGTCCGGTCTGGGCCCAAACAGTACAGGGCCGGTTCGGTTCCGAGCCGGTTCGGCCCAGCCCAGTCCATCCCTAGGCAAAATCGCAAAACTGAGAACTTTAAAAAATGCTCACATATGATACTCAACATCCAATGACGGAATTACTTCTTATTCATGTCTTGAGAAGAAGACCAATTGTAGTCCTAACTAGGGGTGGACCGGTTCGGGCCTGGGCCCGGCCGGGCCTCGGTTCATGAAAGGGGAGGCCCGGAACCGGCCCGGGTAACCCCCGGGTCCGGGCCGGGCCGGGCCGGTAGGAGTGGACTCGGGTCGGGCCAACCGGCCCGGAACCGGACCAGCCCGCTACTGTGCGGGCCCGGCCCGGAACCGGACCGGCCCGCTACTGTGCGGGCCCAGACCGGCCCGGTGAACCGGTTGGTTGCCCGGTTCGGGCCACCCGGCCCGGTGGGATGGCGGTTCGGGCTCGGGTCCTTCAAAAGGTGAACTGGCCCGGCCGGTTCGGGCTCGGGCCGGGCCAATTTATTATTATTTTTTGGGGGTGAGGCGGAGGGTTGGGGGTTAACTAGGAAAAGCCAAAAAAAAATTAGAACTGAGGCCCGGCCCGGACCCGGGGGTTACCCGGGCCGGTTCCGGGCCTCCCCTTCATGAACCGAGGCCCGGCCCGGACCCGCGTTTTTCGAAGTTGTCCGGGTTGACCCACCGGGTCCGGGTTGACCCGTGACCCGATCATTCGTCTGAGTCACTTCCCGTTTTACAACATAGGAATCGGGCCCAACAAATGCTTGTTGTCTCCTTAAGACAAATTTGCCCGCTAGCAATTGTCTTCCAGGATATAACGGTTTTTCGTTCCCGAAGGACACCGACGAATCAAATGATGTACTAACAGTGAAGTATTAGATGTATACGAAAAAGAAGACTTTGTGATAATTTTTTGGACTTTTTTCTTCTCTAAAAAACGCTAGAGCCTATTGGGGTATAAGTACCTATTCAGAAAAAGTAACAACCTTTTTTGTAAGTGTTGCCTTATCCAAATTAATTAATTGTACAAAACTAATGTTTAAGTCTTAAAGCCACGCGGGTACCCACCCGTACCCGAATTCCGACCCGACCTATCCAGCTGGCCGGACAGCGGCGGCCCAAGACAAGTCCTACATGAACACAGCTTCAAAGAGAATTTCGAGATACATTTTCTCATTCATTTCCGAATGATTTTCTACAAATAATATATTTGTAAAATCATTTCTCCAACAAAGGTAGCTTTTCACTCAAACTAATAATGTCAAATTTGAAATGCCAACAAAAATTTAAAACCATTTTTAAAAATTCATAATCTTGATCATTGTTGTTTTTTATTGAAAAATTAGAACAATATGTCAAACGAACCCATGTGGCCATGTGTAGTCACTATTACAATCTCCTTTTCCCATTTCAATAATGACCGAACAAAATAAAACTTTTTGGCATGTTTTTAACACCCTGATTTTTTCCCAAATAAAAAAATAAATAGAAATTTCTCTAAATAGGAGCAAAAACGTTTTGAAATTCCAAAATAGAAATATCATGTTTTTTATTCACTGAATATGAGTAATCTGCTACGTTTGGAATAAAATGCCATGTTTTAAAATCTAGTAATGTCAAGCTTGGCAGATATTTACTTTTATTCAAAATATAAAAAATATGATAGTTCTATTTTGAAATTTTGTCCAGTAAAAAAATCATTGTCCATAAAACACGAGGGGAGGAATTCACCAACACACGAGAAGCAACCACCAAATAACAAATGCAGTACTGACTGCGAAGTAAAACGTACACTTTGTCAAAAACAGATGAGTAGTTTATTTTAAGAGCAAGAGAATAATTGTTAATTGGGAAATAATTTTCTGTTTTAAAAAAGAAGCTGAGATCCACAAATAGCACCTTAAATCCTAAATAAGTTTTTTTTTCTGTTCCAAATACATGGAAATATTTACGAGATGATGTTTTAGTACACCTAAACATGGAAAAATAGTTTCTAAAAATTATAAATTATATAGTCCTTTTGTTAATGGTAACATTATTTTTCATTTATTAATGGTGTCAGTATATTATTTGTCAAATATTAATTTCTTTCTGAACATTCAAAAAAAAAACATTCAATTTAAAATGCTAAATGATTACTGACCAAATAGAAGATAAATATAGGCACCTTTTCAATTTTCATACGTTAAAAGTGCGGAAAATGAGACCAAAATTAATTCAAAATGCTATACATGTCTTGTTTTGTGGTTGTATAATTTGGAGGCGGTTTGGCAAAACAATTTTTGAGTTTATCATCATTATCGACTAACTTTTTTATCAAATACGTAGTTTTTATTTTCGCGCGCTGAAGTGTGTAATAAGCAGAAAAAGTAAGGTTGAAGTTACTTTTCTGGCTACATTGGCTGAAGTTACTGTAGATGACTATTTTAGCTATTTTTACATATAATTTTTTCTTTATTTTATTAATAAAATATATTATAAAAAATAATTTTTTCTTAAATCAGCAGAATCAGCCAATGCAGCCATTTCAGCTAGAACTTCATGAACGTCAACAGAATCAATCAAATCAGTCGATTTTCGTGCTACCAAACGGGCTCTTAAAATTTAAGACATGAATCATTATACCTCTAATGCTTGTTCCTCACTTTCTTAGGCTATTGTTTATTTTGGGTATCGGATAAGAGATTGACATCTTATTCCTTTCACCCGATCTGAATGATTTTGTTCTGAATTTTTAAAGTTTTGATCTCATCTGATTTGAATTTTTCCGATCTGATCTGACCTCATTTGAATTTTTTTATCTGATCTGATTTGATCTGAATATTTCTGATCTGATCTAAATCTTTCTGATCTGAGTCTTTCTGGTCTGATCTGAATGTTTATGTTCTGATCTGATTTCAATATTTCTATAATTAGAATTACAATTACAATTATAATTGTAATTATAAATATAATTTACATATAATTATACTTAAGATCATAATAATAATAAATTATAATTATATTTATAATTATCATTATATTTTTAAAGAAAAGTTATAATAGTTATACCTAGTACGCTAATAATAGTTATAGCTATAATTATAATTGTAATTGTATTTTTAATTATAATTATTTCTGTAATTATGATTTAATTGTAACTACAATATTTTTTTATATAATTATAATTATAACACTTTATAATAATAATAATAATAATAATAACATAGAAGAAATTTATGTCAACCTTACTCTTTAATTATTTACGACTTCTTCTTTTTTCTGTTAAAATATACACATTGTATATTTGTATAAAAGGTTTACAACTGTCAATAGTTTTTTCAGATTTGTAACCAAACAAGCTAACATTATATGGTTTTTTTTGGAAGAATTCAGCTTATATTGATAACAGATAATTTAGAGCATGGGTCAAATGACAAAAAGAAATCTTACAACCGCTATTTCGTGAACCAGACTCAGAATTAATCACCTCCAAAGAAGCAATATAATTCGCTGATCCAAAAGTGAGAAACCTAAAGCCATAACCGGTCATCGTATTCCTCTCATCCCCCACATCCAGGAATAAAATAGAAAAAACAAACAACAAAACAAACATAATGGTCTCTGAAACAGCAAACAAAACAAAAATAATTAAACTTTTGATGCGGCCATAAGACACAAATCGTGCCCCGGGCTTGCGGCCTCCCCTCTTCCGTCGACCTCTTCGGCGGGCTCAAGGAGCTAAGCCCACCTCCTCCCTGTTTTTTGTTCCATCCAAGGCCATGACATCCTCTTCTTGCTCCCTCTCTGTTTGAATCTCCCCGATCTTCCCTCTCTTCGAAACCTCTTCCTTTGACTCCTCTAGTCCTCTCCACCTCCTTTGGTAAAGTTTTGGGCTGATTCAGTCGTTACATCTTTCACCTTTTCATCTATCTTGTCCTCTAATTTCTGTGCCTCTATATATCCACCCGATCTGCTAGAGCTCGATGACTCTCCAGAAGCCATGTATGACCTCGTGTAGGACTTGTTTTCACCCCACTTCCTGCTCTGAGATGGATCCCAAATGTTTTTTCTAAAACTAAGTCTTCTTCATAATTTAAGGGCAAAAAATTATCTGAATATCCAATGAAACCACAGATGAAGCAAAAGTTTGGCAGACTCTCATATTTAAAGTCTATCGAAAAACTTTTACCATCCTTTTTCAGATTTTTCCCTTTCTTCAAAGATTTATCATCTTCATAAGGACCCTAACCCGCATATATGGCTCTAATTTATCACTCTTCTGAAAATCATCATACTTAACAAATTGCCCTATGAAATTTTCAACACGCCTGGCAGTACCCAGATTAACCAGACTATAAGGAACATTATGTATCTGAACCCAAAATTCTGATTCGTTTAAAATAATTTTGTGTGGAATGTCATCAGGCATGACTTCTTTTAACATCACAAGACTACGTTCAAATTGCGAGGGGCCTCTCTCAATAACACG